GAAGATGAGGACTGGAGTGACACTGGCTTTCTTCCAGTCCTCAGGCACCTCTCCTGTTCTCCAGGACCTTTCAAAGATGATGGAGAGCAGCCTAGCAATAACATCTGCCAGCTCCCCCAGCACTCGTGGGTGCAACCCACTAATTAGAAATTGATTTTAATTTCAATGGAAAATAACAGAAAAGCTATTTAAATAGATACAGAAATCCATGTTTGCTTTTAAACACTATTAGGGCATTGATAATATTACTGGAGAGCCACTTGTTCAGCATGACGATAATCCAGAGCCTGTGGGTTTACGATGCACAAACAAAACCTGTTCTACAATATTATCAGTAAACAGTAAAACTACAGTGCTTCTTTCTGTATTAGGATAGCAAGGAACAAAACTGTTTTTCTTCAATTGCAGGGATATGAATGTGGAATGCAACAATGAATGTGGAAATATAAACAGTAGAATGAGCGCGTTACTGTTTGCTTGAATAAAAGCTCTTCAGGAGCCAGCTCAGCAAAAGTGCCCTTCACCATAAGCCATAAGAGGCTTTACAAACAGCATGGATTATTCAATATACTACAGTAAGGTAATGTTCTGAACAGTGGAGCTAAAAATCTATTACCCAATTAAACTTTTTTAGTATTAAATTTGTATCTTACTGGCTGTACTGGTAAAAATCCTGTTAAGGGATAAAGGGTCAAGAAGTGACTCACACACAAATGAAAAAAATTAATAATGAGGATTAAAATGTGGCTACTCTTAAAAATAGGATTGTGATATGAACAGCTAGCTAGCTATTTGAGAACATGGCCTTTTGCAACACAGAAGGATAACAAATCATCAAGTCTTGTAGAAGCCAAACTTTTATTCAAAGTGCATCTTAAGTTAAAGCTGATCTGGTGTGTAAATAACATGAGTAACATTTGAATAATAGTAGATCATCATAGAAAGGCTTGTGGATTCTTATCCCACATATATAAATTGATTAGAGATTTTTTTTGGGCAACGTCCTAAAGTGACCGTCCTTTATTTGTGTTTCCACATCTTCCACCTTCATTCTGTTCTACTAGAAGTGTTCTGTGCATTGAGTATAAGACTAGACGCTCCATCTTTAAGATAAGTATCTTTAAGATAAGGTGGGGGGGGGAATTGACAATAGTTTTTCCTGACTTCAATAGCTCTCTGGAGAAAAAAATGCCTCTAGCCCCACAGTAAGACATAAGCCTAAACTATTATCATTACTAGTAATAACATAATTTACAAATAAATGCAGTTACTCAAACTACTTCAAAGCAACTTGATTGTACTTGGTTCACTTGTTTGAACTGATGCATCCTTGGGTACTTCTCTGATCCTTGAGGTGTGATAACTTCAGTATTTGGTCCATTCAGAATTATTTGGATGGTTATTATTGTATAACACCTGCTCTATCATAGGACTGCCTCTTCCTTATCTTTAGCCTTCATAGCTCATTAATAAATATTCCATGGGCAATTACCAACTTCATGAACTGATATGGCCACTAGCTCACTTTAAGAAACATAGTAACACATACCTAGTTTGAGTTTTTAGTGTTATAGCTGCTCTTGGAGCTAAATGATATAACTATTATCACCTCACTTCTGCTAGGGCAACCCTAAAAATTTAGATGGATATACTGGAGGAACCGGACAACTGATTTCTGTTATGCTTTTCCCCTCTTCTTCCTTAGGAAAAAAGGGTCATTGAAATCCTTCTGTAGGACAGAAACCAATAAGATATAGCCATATAGGTATGCTTTCCTCCAAACCAACATGACTGATGTGAACCAGAAGGATGCTGCCACCCCCAGGTGAAGTTAGATCTAACTTTTGCTCATCTGTCATGGTACATGTGTCAGTGATTACTTGAGACTCAGTGATCAATGGTTTCACTAACAAGTGTGCCAGACTGATCAATAATTAAAATCTAATGTCATCCTTATGTTTCAGCTGTGGTAAAACTTTCAGTTCTCCCGGGGTCCTTTCTTTAATGCTGTATTCTTATATTAAATATGACTAATTTCTGTAATATAGTGACTGATTTTAACAAAAGCACTTACTCTTGAGTCTGTATTAATCAGAAAATACTAATTTTAGGCACATATTGAATTGTGGGGAGAAAATACAATCCAGAATACAGCGTCATCACAGACCATTTTGGCTGACCTGTTTATTTGTGAACTGTACTGTGAAGAACTTTACATATTATGTATTAGCATGGGCAGTAGCTATCACTACAAGTAACTTTCTTTACCCTTCGAAGATAGTTTGACAAAAACCTTGCCAATAACTTTTACTTGAATCTTTGTCTATATGGAAGCTCTAGACTGAAGATACTCTTCCTTCAGAAAGTCAAGCTTAGAACCCATTAGTTACAACATTCCACCACAAAACCTTGAGCTATTCCATGCTTCTATTTATGAATTTTGATTCATTTTCAGAAAAAAAAAGCAGCTGGGCTTGTTTTCTTTTCCTACCAGCCTACATAACTTTCAATTAACTTGAGAGGAAAAAAGACTCCTTAGGATTTGAAGCATCTTTACAACCACTTAAAGCAAATCAGGGGTTCCTAGGCAAAAAGGTTCTACTACAAATGGTAGTATGATTTGTGAGTTACTTTGCTACAGTGCCCATATTAATGCTGTACTTATGGGGTTCAATCAGAAAGCAAAAGCAAAGCAACTTTAACTTTAAGGAAAGCAACTAAATATTTAGAAACATCACCCAGGCATGTAATGATGGTGTCAGGAAAGCCAAAACTGAACTGGAGTTGAGACTGGCAAGGACTGTCAAGGGCAACAAGGAGAGCTTCTACCACTGCATTATTAGTAAAAGGCTGAACAAGGAAAACCTGGGACCATTGCTGAATGGGGCAGGTGACTTGGTGAGAGCAGATGCAGATAAGGTTGAGGCATTCAATGCTGCCTTTGCCTCAATCTTCACTTGCAAGGTCTCCCAGGCCTCTGTGCTTAGCAAAAGGGTTCAAGGAGGAAAACTACCAGCAGTGGATGAGGATAGAGTGAGGGATTACTTGTGAGAACTTGACCAATACAAGTCCATGGGACCCAATGGGCTGCATCCAAGGGTGCTGAGAAAGCCAGCTGATGTCCTTGCAAGGCCACTCTCTACCATCTTTGAAAAGTCATGGAGATTGGAGGAGGTCCCCCAATGATCAGACAAAGGCAAATGTTGCACCCATCTTCAAAAATGACCAAAAGGACGCTGGAGAACTACAGAGCAGTCAGCCTCACTTCAGTCATTTGGAAACTCATGGAGTGAGTCTTCTTGGAATACGTTTCTGGGCACATGATGGAGAAGGCTATTGGGAACAGTCAGCATGGATTTACCAAAGGTAAATCATGCCTGACCAACCTGATTGCTTTCTTTGATTAAAATAATTATGCTTGTGGACATTTACCTCGACTTTAGCAAGTCTTTCAACACCATCTCCCACCATATTCTTGTATCCAAGTTAGGACGTTACAGTCTGGATGGGGGCAAATAGATGGGTGAAAAACTAGTTGGATGATCGGGCTCAGAGGGTAGTATTTGATAGGTCAATACTCTACCTGGATGCTGGTAACAAGTGGAGTACTCCAGGGGGGTCTATCCTGGGATCTATCCTGCTTAACATCTTTATCAATGACCTGGAGAAGGCAATGAAGTGCATTCTCATCAAGTTTGCAGATGACGCCAAATTTGGTGGAGCAGTCAATACGCTTGAGGTCAGGACTGCCATTCAGAGGGACTGAGACAGGCTAGAGAATGGACTGATAGGAACATTATGAAATTCTACAAGGACAAATGCCAAGTCTTGCCCCTGGGAAGGAAGAATCCCTTGCAATGATATAGACTGAAAGCTGACTGGCTGGGGAGCAGCTGTGCTGAAAAGGACTTGGAGGTCTTGGTAGGCATCATCCTCCTTGTCTGCCTGATAATCAGACAGAACAGCAGATAACCTGAGGATAAAACACAAGTGTTCCAGACAGTAGTACTAGGGCCAAGAAAGGAGCTTCCATCAGCTGATCTGCTGATGAATTTTTACTAATGCTTATCCCACTGTATACTACAACAGATTTAGATTGCAGTATACCATAATTACAGCCTACAATAAAAAACAGCTAGTGTTGCATAACAGCTAGTTTTCCTGTGTCAGCAACTGAGGGTAGGCTCTGTAAAAACTGGTTATACCAACTTATTTACTTGGGTTAGTCATCAAACTATTATTCTAAATGCATTCTAAGCCCTGTGTGCAATCAGAGCAATGCAGCAAAGGGCCAAGTAAACAATAGATCTGGCAAAGCAGCATACAAATAATAATCTCCTGTAAAAACATGCAAAGTGAACATTTATACTGATATTTGAGGTACAGACTCTCTCCTGGAACAGCCCAGCTACAGAGTAGACAGAGCTGCTATAGAAGCAGCAGGTTTGAAAAGCTTGGTAGAAATTTTGGATTGCAGAGGCTCTGATACCAGGCTTATTCTGGGAACAGCATTTGGACCTAAGGTTCCTAAAAAAGAAGGCTTTTAAAGAACTTCCCACTTCTCCGTACTTAAGTTGATAATTTCAGAAGTCATTCACTTATTAAAAAGAGCTTTAGTTTAACAGTGTATGAAATACCTGCCAAAACCTGACTTATAAGTGCTTGGCCCTTGACCGTGATCAAGCTTTTTGTTGAAAGCAGAGTCTCTTCCCACCCACTGTACCTGAAGTTCCCCTCTGTTCCCTTCATCAAATACTTTTCACCTCATAACAGATCTTGCTTTAAAAATTAGTTTAAATTAACTAAATTTTTTAAACTAAAAAGTTAGTCTTAAAAAAAAAAGATTCTCAGTGACCATACAACCCTGAGCTCACATGTAAGCAATTGTTTGCAAAATTGCAAAAACAAGATTTTTCTATGAAAGCACAACGTAACATTTAAATACCCTTATAAGAGGTAAGAGTCAGTGTTATAATTTAAGCCATCCAGATCTGCAATACTGATATCATACTAATTTATTGCTATTAATGATGAAACCAGTTTTGAGAGCTATACCAGCAATATAACAGGAGTATAATTGCGATCTCCAGTATTCATAGAATAAGACATGTCCATGTCTAATAAGAGGCAATAGCAGATTCCACCAAAAATCTACCACTTTTTGTAAACATTGTATTTGTGCAGATTTCTTTTTCATACTTTAATTCCCAAAATCATGAAAGGCAAATTTAGTAGCGTAAAACACATCAATTTTCACATTTGGCAATGAGAACCCCACTCTCCATAGACAACCAAAAAACCTAGCAGCACATTTTCAAATAGCGTTACAAGTATTTCTGGATTACCTTTCCTCCAAATCCTCCCTCAAAGCACCAAAAATAAAGTGCAGTACCCATAAAAACATGTCAAGAAAATAGCCACGTTCTTTTCTTTGTAATAAAAAGAGTACTTGGCCTCAGTCTTAACAGCGCTATACTGTGTCCATCATTTTGGGTTCTTCATCTTTTTGTACCATTGAGTTTAAATTGCAGAAACTTGTGTTTATGCAACCTTGTAGACCATCTGCATTCTGCAACAAATGAAGAATTAAAAGCTTAATCTCAATATACACTTACAGAGAACTAAGTCAAACTCTCTATTTTGTCTGTCTTAAGATGAGACAAGTTTGTAATAAAAACAAGTTCTTAAAAAAATTGCACAATATTATCATAATATGAATGTCAAAAAGCTTCTTTAAGTTTAGCTAACATACTATCACTTTATTGCGCATTTACTTAGGGTTCAGTTGCCAGATCTTACCAAACAGGTACCTTGACCAAATTTATTTCAAAGTACTTTCGATTGTGACTCCTTCCCTAACATACAGCTTTTAAAACCCCTTAAAATTGTCTCTTCAGTCCAAGATGTGACTATCACTAACACTGAAACCAAAGATCTCAGTGTTCCAAGATAAAAATAAGGGCAGAATATTCTAACAGTGTGAATTTTCCTTAGGCTTGACTGCCTGTAGGTTCCCATTAATGGGATTAGTCATTTTCAGCTGAAAGCTCATTTCACCTCCTGTGATACAAAGTATATATAATTCTAGTTCCTGAACAGGTTTATGATGTGGTTTTTCATTTAGCATGATTATTCAAGGGCACTGAACTAACATATGCCTTTGGCCTTATGTTCTGATGCTTTCTGAAGTCTAGGAAGCAGAAAAAAGCTTTGAAAAACAATCTCCCTTGCATTTTGATAATAGTGCACGTTAGAACTGACAGTGCTCCAAGTATAAAGAGGATTATTTCTAGATTTCAAAAGATATATCTTCTCAAGAGTATGGCAAAAATCTAATCCTAATAGAGTTATATTCATTTCTGGAAATAAAAAGCCTACCTGTGACAAAGACTCCAGCCCTTCTACAAAACCAGTATAGTCACTGGGATTCTGTACTGAAATAGCTTCAAAGCCTTGTGACCGTGAACAGATTCTCACTCTTGATTTGAATGCTTCAAGCTCAGTTTTAAAAGCTTCCAAATAGCCTTCTTCCCCTGTCTGTAAAGAAAAAAATGAAATATTTTTCATCTCAGCCAGATTTACTTCTAGTTGTAAGCATACATACTGCTAAAAAGAAGTCCTGCAGCAATGTATATTATACTCTTTGGAGGATAATGTTTTGGACAAGTCAATAGTACAAATATATAATTTTAACCCTTCCTTTATTCCATCTCAGAAGCCCATATCCTTAAGAGAAAAGGTACTCACTGCAGCACTAAATTCAAAAGCAAAACATGAATCAAAGTGGGTGTCAACTTAAGTCCTGCAGATGATAGCATTAAGACCAGCATGACTTGACTCTTCAGTCTTGTATAACTTAATATAGAACTTGCATCAAACCACAGCTTCAGTCTTCCTGCATATCTCTCTCTCTTTCAGTCTTCCTGCATATCTCTCTCTCTCTCTCTCTCAGCAATCCAGAGCTAACTATGACTGAGTGAATAGAAATAGATTCCAAATTGGGCCCTGTCATGAACTGCAACTGAAGTGAAAAATTATGATGATACATAGGACAATTGTAAAAACAGAGAAGCATTATGATAAGCCAAATAGGACACTCAGTTCTTAAACACATTCATATTTGCTGCTGTAATTTAGGTGGTACTTCACTATCCAACACTACTGTAGCGCCCATGCTATGTTCTGCTTTCCCTCTGGCCTAACAAGAATCCACAGAACTTCCATTCTCAAGATCAGAATTGCACAAAACATTCATCCTAGAATGAACTGCTAACAAAGCAACACTTCCCCATAAGCCTGAATCAGTCAGTAACATTCTTAACCTCCAGCTGTCAGAAAGAAAGCTCCTTCAGAACACTGATCCCTTGCAAGGGCACCAAGAGTTTCTCTATATTACACAAGTTCTGACTTACTTTGGCTTTTTGGAAAAATAGACGAAAACAGCCTCTTGGATCCACATTACAACTTTTGGCCATTTCTATAATAAACTGCATTACAACTGCTTGGTGTGCTATTTGTTCCATCAGAGCTCTTTTCTGAAAAGAGAAATTCTATAATTACAGAAAATATCTTGAAAAGCATAATTCTATCTAAAATTCAGCATCATTTTCTTTCCATATGATTCCTAAAGAGATGAGAACTGATGGTAACAGAAGCAAAGGGACTGTTAATTAGCTGAGACTAGACATAATGCAGCAGTGCATTATGGAAGCTTCCTTCAGTATGATAACATGGGCATGGGAGGAAAGGGAGAAGAGTAATTAAATGGCTCATCAAGTTGGACAGCTTTTCTGTAGCATAAGTGGGAAACTGCATACTTTCAAGCAGTTTAAAGGTCTTCCTAATACCTGTTCAGCTTCTAGATGGAAACACCATAAGATGAGATACTTAGCTGTTTCTTCACATACAAGATACGGGTGGTCAGACAAAAATCTTTGACTGTCATCCCATCTGCCCAGCATACCTGATTAAAAAAAACAATGACATGAATTAACACATTCAATATGGAGAAGTGATTGAATGCAGTGAAGATGTTATTCAAATTTATATACTACCACAATCTCCTTCGCACTTCATTGTAACCTCAGAAGATCAGCACGCAAATAAAACTGAACTCTTCTTTGTTTTTAGACACTTACTAATGCTGAAAGAGCATTACCAAAAGGTATGCTCAGACTCTAAAGATACTGAAATATAGTTAGCTGCTACTGTTAAGATCTTATTTTTATTGGCAGTGTTAAAAATAGTTTAACTGTAAACATTTTTCATACACTGTAACAAAATAGTATCTTTACCTATTTGTTAAGAATTTGATAGTATAACAGTTTATGGGTAGAGATTCACATTCAGTGATTTTGACAGACAAGTTATTTAAGTACTTGCAAGTAAGACAAGTAGAAATGAAATCATAGTCATAGTCTAAAATGAATATGCTTCTGACTTGGTTTGCTAGGTTTTAGGAAATACAAAGCTATTTTTATAACTAAGTTCAAACATTAATGTCAAAAGATCAGAGCCAAGTCAATGTTTGAAAGTTAACTAGAAGAGTGAACTAGGGTTAAGTAGCATAAAGCTACCTTCATGGAAAGAGCTGCAGGTTAAAAGTCAGAACTCAAAATTCAGGCAGTGAGATCATCTTTTTTTTTTCTTTCATATGACTTAATTGTCCTAATGTACATATTAGTGATATTTTACTGGTTGCCAGGAATAGATACAAAGCTTTACCCTTCTATCACCATATGCATATATATAGATATATCTTCAAAAATGAAAGATCAGTTCCATCTATTCATACTCTTAATAGCTGTTTTGCAGATATTTACCTTTCATCATTCATTCCCTCATGGCTTAACAGCCAGCAAAAAAAGCAGCTGTTACAACCATGAGACCCTCTTCAAGGACTGACAACTGCTTGGTAGAGAGGAGATCCACCTGACAAAATGGGGAAAAAGTATCTTTGCCAACAGGTTGGCCAGTCTGGTAAGGAGAGCTTTAAACTAGGAATGATGGAGGAGGAAGAGAATGACCAACAATCAAGTGACAGAGTGGTGAATGGGATTGGCAACCAAAGGGTCTGCAGTGATGTAAACACAAGGTACTTCTTAATGAACAAAACAGGGCTGAAGTGGAATCACCCCAAGTGTATGCACATAAATAAGAAAGTGCCTGTGGGACTGAATTATGGGGAAAGCTATCATGCCCTTTCTGGGAAGTCAGCATGCTGGGGTGCCTCTCTGTAGTGCTTGTACACTAATGCATAGAGCGTGGGGAACAAACAGGAGGAATTAGAAGTCTGTCTGCAGTTACAGGGCATTGGGGTCACGGAGACATGGTGGGATAGCTCACATGACTGGAGTGCTGCAATGGATGGACAAAGGCTCTTTAGGAAGGACAGGCCAGGAAGGTGAAGAGGGGAAGTTGCCCTTCATGTGAGAGAGCAGCTGGAATGCATGGAGCTCTGTCTAGGGACAGGTGAGGGGCCAGTTGAGAGCTTATGGGTAAGGATTAGTGGGCAGACCAACATCAGTGACATTATAGTGGGTGTCTGCTACAGGCCACCTGATCAGGAAGAAAAGAGTGACAAAGGTGACAGTGAGGTGGACTGAAAACTGGCTGAACTGCTGGGCTCAGAGGGTTGTGATCAGCAGCATGAAGTCCAGCTGGAGGCCAGTCACTAGTGGTGTCCCCCAGGGGTCAATCCTGGGGCCATTATTGTTTAACCTCTGCATTAATAACCTGGATGATGGGGCAGAGTGCACCCTCAGTAAGTTTGCAGATGATACTAAACTGGGGGGAGTGGCTGACATACCAGAAGACTGTGCTGCTATTCAGAGGGACCTCGATAGGCTGGAGAGCTGGGCAAGAGAGGAACCTCATGAAGTTCAACAAAGGCAAGTGCAGGGTCCTGCACCTAGGGAGGAATAACCCCCTGCACCAGGACAGGCTGGGGGTCTGAGCTGCTGGAAAGCAGCTCTGCAGAGAAGGACCTGGGGGTCCTGGTGGACAACAAGATGAACATGAGCCAGCAGTGTGCCCTTGTGGCCAAGAAGGCCAATGGTATCCTGGGCTGCATTAACAAGAGCATTGTCAGCAGGTCGAGGGAGGTGATCCTCCCCCTCTACTCAGCCCTGGTGAGGCCTCACCTGGAGTCCTGTGTCCAATTCTGGGCTCCCCAGTACAAGAGAGACATGGCACTACTGGAGTGAGTCCAGCAGAGGGCCCCAAAGATGATTAAGGGACTGGAGCATCTGTCACAGGAGGAGAAGCTGAGAGAGCTGGGACTGTTTAGCCTGGAGAAGTGAAAGCTCAGGGGGGGAATCTTATCCATGTTTTTAAATATCTGAAGGGAGGGTGTCAAGAGGCAATGGGCACAAACTGAAACACAGGAAGTTCTGCCTGAGCAGGAAAACACACTTCACAGTGAGGGTGATTGAACACTGGAACAGGTTGCCCAGAGAGTCTGTGGAGTCTCCATCCTTGGAGATATTCAAAATGTGACTGGACACAGTCCTGAGCAACCTGCTGTAGGTGACCCTGCTTGAGCAGGAAGGGGTGGACCAGATGCTCTCCAGAGGTCTCTTCCAACCTCAACTATTCTGTGTTTCTGTAATAGGAGACAGGTACAGAGTCCCAGGCACTTTTACCCACAGGAATTGCATCTCCATTAATGTCCTTATCATTTCTCATGCAAGAGCATGAGGTACCAACAGGCTTCTGCAATTTACAGGTTTTTTTTATTTTGAAAAGGTTATTTGTTATGATGCCACATCACCTGTGCTGAGAAACAAGAATCTAGCTACCCTGCTAGCCAGATGTTTCATCTGTTAGGATCCACTTTGTACAATAATAATAATGAAAAAAAGAAATAGACCTACACAAATTCCACAAGATGTTAACCTGAAAAATGTTGGAAGCAGCATACTTACCAAAGTATCTAATCTTTTGTTCATACTTCTGCATAAATGATTTAGATATGTCTTCATCTTCTACTTTTCTTTTATTTTGACTAATAAAACTCTAAATAAGAGAAAAAACTATCATGTTATCTCCACGCATACCTTTTTTGAACTATATGACTATTTTAATTCATTACTATTTAAAGGGCAATGTTCTAGTTTCAGGCCCAGCCCAGCAAACACATACGTATACACTTAATGCACCCAAGAAGGTTATTTACCAAAGCACAGCTTGTCTAACTAATAGTGAAAAATATCTTATTGCATTCCTCTTCTGAGTAATAATCTATCTCAGAGTTCTATCCTCTAGTAGGAACTTATTGATCTATAAACAATGAGAATCATCTACACCATCTAGCCCTGATGCAGCTAACTCAGTGGAACTATGAAAAAAGATGCATTAACAGTTCATATTCAAGTTAAGAGATGAAAACAAAACTGGCATTTAGTGTGAAGACAGTTTGTGCTAAAATAATCTGTATTAAGATATTCATATTATTAGAGGCAAACTGCATGTGTTTCAAATGTGAGAATTTGGCATGACAAAGTAGTAAACTTCATGTGAAGAACTTGTTCAGCCTTGCTTTTGGCAGCAGTTGCTATGTAGGACAAATGCAAGTTCTGATTCCCACTTAAAAGAGAAGTGCCATACATGTTTATTATCAGTGCAGCATGTTCCCTTTAATAGGGTAAAATAAGAAAAAAAAAACATTCAACACATTATGATAAGCATACTAGATACAGAAGATACTCAAGACTAGAAATAAGTGGAATAAAAAAGGCTTATACTTATTATGATACACAGTTATGTAGGTCATACCTTATTAAATACCTCCTTACTAACAGAATCTGTATTCCATAGATTCTGTCTTTCCCTTTGTATTAGTGCTTCTTCTTTTCTTCTCCACTCTTCCTCTCTCTCTCTCAGTTCTGAAGCTTCAGTCTGTGCTTTGGCATATTCCTGATCCATGGATTCTGAATTATGCAGTGCTAAACTATCAAGTTTCTGCTGGGCTTCCACTAGATTCCATTTGGATTCTACAGAGTTCTTCACAAACTCTTTTTGTTTTTGACAGATTAATTCAATCCCTTGACCATGGGCCTGTGTGGAAAACAAAACATGCTGTTTATGGAGTGAAAATTGATAGAATGTATGAATATATAGAAACAAATGGGTTTAACTCCCAAATAGAACACTGAGATGGAAAGCATCTTAAAAGCAATATTATATTCAGAACAGTGACTAAACATGATACTGTGCAGCTAGATTATTTTTAAATGAGATTTCTACTTCAAGCTTTCTAAATTTAATTAAAAGGTATTTACAGAATCATGGATCAAGTACTGCCACCAGTAATACAATCTCCAAACTGCATATCATAAAAAATTTTTATAGATGAAAGGATTTTCCTCACTTCCCTCTGGCTATCTTTATTCTGCAATACTAACAATAGCCAAAATAGCAGAATACTTGGAAGACATAGTTCTGAGAAGAAAGCATCTGTTTTATGATGTCAAATTGTAACAGTACAGTAACTATTACTGCTTGCATTCTTTCATAGCTTAATATTATCTCAACACATGTCCTAGCATCTTAGCTTGGACTGCCAGTGAAAGTGGAATTTAAGCTATGAAGTAGTTGAGGCACAACATAAGCATATCTTCCCTTCTGCCAAATCTATTGAGGGGGTCACTAACAGCTAGGAGATAGAAGTGACCTCTTAAGCTACAGTATTTATATTGCCTACAGATGTACACTAGAAACTCAGCAATTTAATAAATTATTCTCTCTCTAAACCATCTGCCGTGCCTTCCCACCGCATGGGGGAAACAAACATAAGCATGTATTAGCATCTCAGCCTTCCAGTACAATAGTTTGAAATTAGTGATGATGACAATCTTTGGCAGAGGGATGGGAAGGACACTAAAAGTTGTGAGAGCTTACCTGGAGGAAACTTCAGTGCAGATTAGTCAAAGCTCTCATGCCAACTTTGTTTCAGAATCACAGCAAATCTCTTTTTAAAGAACAATTGACTACTTGCAATTTGGAAAAATAATGACAACTTCTTATGAACAATACGGTCTTCCTAATGTTCTACTTGCACTATTTATAGCTATATAAAAAAGAGGGACAGCTATAGGCAATGCTCAAATGAGTGATGGATGGAGACTCCTAAGATGGGGTAAACAGAAGGAACAGAAGGAAGGTTGGGAAGCGTGGTTCACAGATGGTTCGAGTTACCACTAACAGGGTAAAGCCTTCACGGGGTATGCAGCCATCAGACCTGAGGATGGGTATTCCCTGCAAGGAAGAGTCACCCCACATTCAGCACAGGCAGCCGAAGTGCAGGCTATCCTCAAAGTGTTCTACAACAAGCCAAATCAAACAGTAAAGTGGCTATCTGGATCGATTCCAATTGGGTTGCTCAAGCAGTAGCTTTTTGGGCTCCAGTGTGGGAATGTAATAGTCTATGTACTTTGGATGGAAAAACCTGTTGCCTACCATGATGCTTGGGCAGCTATTATATCAGAAATTATAAATAAACAATTGAAGGTAACAATAACACACACTGAAGGCCATAATAAGCAAAAGACCCCAGAAGCCTATTGGAATGGGAAATCAGATGAGATTGTGAAGAAAGCAGCAAAGGATGAGCAGGTGATGCCAGGAAAAAGTGACAGCTATTATGAGATCAGCGATGCAGAAAAAGAATACTTGGGTGCTGGGAGTTTTAGTACTTATACAACAAGATGATCCAGAGATTACAGAATGGATGAAGAAAGGAGCAATTAGCAAGCATAATGTGTTTAAAGACACTGATGGAGTAGTGTGGGCCCAGCAAGAGAAGGACCATAAACGATGGGTAGTCCCTGCAGCATACCCTGGGGATCTCATCCAATTTGTTCATGATAAAGGTCATTTTGAAGTGGTAAGAACTACAGAAGGAGTAACACAAGTAGGCTGGTGGCCTACTCTGAAAAAAGATGTTAAGCAATGGGTAAAAAAAATGTCTAACTTGTGCTATGATAAATGCTCCTAATATATTAATCAAACCCCCTCTATAACATCAGAGGATAACAGGTCCATGGTCCCATATACAAATTGACTTTATAGGTCTTTTACAGGACCTATGCTTTTCAGATAAATGGATTAATGAGCTGTGTAACACCATAGTAAAAATCCATTTAAGAGCAGCAGAAGCCCTTGGGCAACGAAAACAAGAAATGGACAGAAGAAATCCACCATCTAGTAAAGGGGTAGACTGGAATGTAGGGGTTTCTGTCCTATACAGGAACTTTCATTTGAAATGACACAACTTAGGAGCTAAGTGGGCAGGAGCTGGAATTCTCTCTAATCAAGCTAGTCCAATGATTTTCCAAGTTCAGCTTGAATCAGGAGAAACAAAGTGGTTTCACCAGTCACAGTTGAAACTTTGGAAAAAAAGCAAAAACAGAGTGCCGGAATCAACCCTCAAGGAGTGTCTCTCTCTCTCAAGCATAATGTTAACAGTTGATTGAACTGGTAAAGGAGAACTCTGTAAATGGGTACGCTGCTTCCAATTAAAAATGTTTAAGTCTATGATAAACATCTAACACGGGAGGTATGCTCCCCTTATTTTATTTGCATTTCAGAATCAAGAGAAACTGCAACTGCATAAGAAACAAATTGAAAAGATTGTGGTATCATTCAATAAAACAAAATTATCCATCAACTCTATCCAAGAGGAACTGGCCTCCATAGCTGAAGAAATTCGCACTGTATCAGGTAACCGCTGGTAGGACAGATTATTGTATAGCCCCACAGCACAGAACACATTACAAGTGTTTTTGCAACCTATTGTGATAATGATTACTTTGTTTTATAATGCTTGGAAATGCCTTATGCTTTTGTGAAAATATGTATCACAAAATAATCAGGACTACATAAGGTTAATTAAACACAATACATAAAGATTACGATTAACCTTCGAAAGGGGGGTATATTCCACAAGGGGGTGTCCTATTCAGAGGAACCGTGATTTGTATTATGGGAGCAATTATTGTTAAAGTAACATAGCTTGTGTATGTATTAGATTTACTTATATACTATAAACTTATGACTCTTAAGTAGCAATATTTCTACTTATGTAACTATAATAGGTATTTAGCTTACTGTTTTATACTTTTCTATAGATTAGCTTACTGTTTTATACTTTTCTATAGAGCCCTGTCATTCTATGAACAAGAAACTGTAAACAACAGAAACTCTGAGACAAGCCCGAGGAGCTGAGATATGCAGCCTGCCAGAAGAACCTTGCTTGGTAGCAGTTGCTAGCCTTGAGCTACAGGTGTATATGGCTCACTATCGGACTCAGAGGGTGATGAAGGAAGAAATATGTTCCCCATCATGGAGCCTGCAGGATAGTGTTCTTCAGCTGCAAGAATTCTGAACTGGCTCTACACATTAAAATAGTAATTTAGCAATTATAATAGTTGTGTGTTTTCTTTTATGAATTATGTGAAGTACTTAACAAAGCAAGTAATGGCTATATAGAGTTACAGACTACCCTCAGACCTACACAGGTCATCATGAGACAAGACCGGATAGGAAAGAGTAAATGCCTCCAAGAAGATCCTTTACTTAGTCCTGATTAGGAGCTTTGAGTCAAAGGAGGGTTTGCAACATCTTTGCTGGACTCGTGAGTGATTGATAGTCTGCAATTTGTGGACTATCAAAATGGGGGAATTGTAACTATATAGTCCTGTAATATGGTATTGCCATTGCTAGTAACAGGCCATAAGCTTTGTACTGAGTTTGCAAGGCCTCAGAACTGAGGCTTGTCAGGCCTGCGCTGTCTGAAGTTTTCTTGACCTGCCTGTAGCTTTGTTTTACTTGGCTTAGCTGTGATAGCAATTTCTAATTAACCAGGTGTCTATGGCTAATTTGTTCTACTTTTGCTTATCTTTGTGTGGTACAACCATAGTTTTATATAAATAGCAGTAACAAGTAGTTGTTCTAGGTAGAATGAGCTATTTATGACTCTAACACAATGACATAGTGCACAGAAATACAGGCCTGGTACGAAAGCAGAGGCCTTGAGAAGGGGAGACACAGGATGCAGCGTAGAGGAGTACAGGCATGGGATGGTGATAAGAGATGGGGCACAGGCTTGGCACTGGCGACCCCCATGGCTATAAACAACTCACTAATGGTCAGTTAAAAAAATGCAGACCTGGAGCTGGACAAAACTGGCTTTAGGGGCAACAAAGAGAACAAAGAAATAGCATCTAACATGTAAAGGGCACCATATATAGTAAACTTGGCTGTAACCTGGAGCTGCAAACTAATGGAAGAAAGAGGAAGATGTAAAAGCATGTTAGCAAACATATAAAAATGTCCCTAAGTGGATCCTAGAGTGAGGAAGAAGGAACTATCAACATGAACATCATATTCCTCCTGGCAAAGGATTCCGGATGCTGACAACCCGCCATAACACTCCCATTGCCAACACCAGAGTGAAACTACTGACCTTAGGACCCAGAGGAGCAGTGGAAGGGTGAACATAACACCAGTGGGCCATCTCAAGTGCCTGTATACAAATGCATGCAGCATGGGGAAAAAAACAGGAGGAATTAGATGTTCAAAAGCCCTCTGGACAGGGTCCTGGACAACCTGCTCTAGGTGACCCTGCTTGAGCAGGGGGGTTGGACTAGATGGTCTCCAGAGGTCCCTTCCAACCTCAACTATTCTGTGAAAGCCTCTGACAGAGTCTCCCATAGCCTCCCTATATCCAAATTGGTGATATATGGACTAGATAAGTGGACGATAAGGTTTGTGGAAAATTGACTGGACTGCCGAGCTTAAAAGGTGGTGATTAGTGGTACCAAGCCCAACCATTGGCTACTTGCCAGTGGCATCCCTCAGAGGTTGATACTCTATAACATTCACTCTCAAACATTACTCTAAAACATTAACTTTATTAACAAACTGGACGATGGAACAGAGTACACAACAAGTTTGTGGATTATACCAAATTGGAGGGCCAGACTGCTATTCAGAGGGACCTGGACAGGCTGAAGAAATGAGCTGAGAGGGACCCCATGAAGTTCAACAAGGACAAA